AACTTGGCGTGCGCCGCAGACAGACGCACAATCGCCTCAAGAGTACGTGCTGTTACGTAGAATCCGTCCTTGGACCCCTCCTGCTGCTCTGCCCGCAGCTGAACGTAGTGCTGGCTTACAAGCTGCTGTGAGGCCTCCGTTAGTAATGGCTGACCTTGCTTTGCGAGCTGCACGTAGGCGCGTAGGAAGTCCACACCAACGATGGACTCCCCCGTACTCGTTGTTGCCATACGGAAGTCCATTCCTCCACTGCCACTGCCACCCCCACCCCCACCACCAGCAGCAGAAACGTTCTTTGTGGACTGTGCCCACACCGACTCGACGCTATCCACAACTGTCTTTGTGACGCTCTGGTCAATTCCCACTGGTGCAGCCGTCATGTGGTTGCGAAGAATGTGTCTGCCAATACGTCGGTTGTGCTCAGAAGAGTGCTTGTCTAGCACAATGAAGGTGAGGTCAAAACGTGAAAGCAGCGATTCTGGTAGTCCAACATTAAAGGCAAGGCGGTGGTGAACGCTGTAGAAGCCGTAAATAGGATTTGCCGCCGCCAGCACACTACATCGAGCGTTGAGTGAGGCGTGAATACCAGCCTTGGCAATGGTCACAGTCTGCTGTTCCATTGCCTCGTGCATGGCAACACGGTCTTGTGGACTCATCTTGTCAAACTCATCAATGCAGAGAATGCCACGATCGGCGAGCACCATCGCTCCTGCAGAGAGGGATCGCTCACCAGTGTAGGAGTCCACTGAAACAGCAGCCGTCAGACCGACACCTGAGGAACCTTTGCCAGTGGTGCTGAGTGCCAGCGGCGCTACACCCAGCACGAAGCGCAGCAGTTGCGACTTGGCCGTGGAGGGCTCCCCGACGAGGAGGACGTTAATATCACCGCGAACATGCGACTGGTGTGCCACCCGCTCTACTCCACCTACCATCAGTAGCAACACAGCTTTCTTTTCATTGGTCATGCCGTATATGGTTGGCGCCACAGCTTTGCTCAACGCATTGAGTACTCCAGCAGGGCCATCGTTTTGCAGGCACTTCTGCGTGAACGCCGTGAGTTTCTCCTCCATAGCGGCGATGCGGCGGTACATGGTGAAGGCCTGCACAGGTACCACGTGATTGACCAGCACGATGGACTGAAAACTCTTGCTGTCGGCGGTGGTGTACGCCATATAGACACCAACCAGCAGCACGCGGTCACCCGGTTTCACGACATCCACTAAATCATCGTCAAAGCGCAGCTCAACAGTTCGTGGTAGCTGCCCGGTTGGCGCGCGCTCTGGGGCCTCCTGCAGGATCGCACACTGCGAGTCCATGAAGGTAGAGAGACCCAACTCGGTGCGCAACGCATGCCCCTCCATGTCAGTCTTGGGCATGACGTTCACCGTTGGTAGATGCGTGCTGTCAATCATTGGCGTTAGCTGATCGCGGAATTCCTTCCGCGTGAATTTGTTCGTCTCGGGGCAGTAATGCACAGACTCCAGCACCCGCGGACGGTTCGACGACTGCCGCGTGATGATGCCTTCAAGCGCCACCATGGTGTTGAGGTGCCGCGCATACAACTCACGCGGCGACAGCACCGTTCCCACCGGACCTTCAAACCCAACATGCACCGCACGTGAGCGGTAGTCCACCTTGAGGTACTCCGGCTGCTGCCGCAGCACAACATCGTGGAGGGCGAGCTCCAGAAGCGGCACAAACTTCCCTGGCTCGCGGATGATACCGAGGCCGAGTGAGGCCGGTGTTGCTGCGGCTCCTCCTCCTGCCCCACTGGTGGCGTCAAGACCAGCGGAGGCGGGAACGAAATCGAGGAGGTCGCCCATGTCAAGCAGTAGGCGCGACTTCGCGGCGGTCATCATCTCCTGCACACGCTGGTGGTACTTCTCCTCATACCGCTCCGACTCGAAGAAGTCGATAAAGTGGCGTCGGATGAGGGTCTGTTCCTCCGTCAAACTGCGATTGCCGAGCATTTTGTGTGCCAAGAGCTGTCACACACTTTTTCCTTCCCCTTCAAACTGAACTCTCACCACCCACTCTTTCGCTAGATTGGATGTTTTTTTTTTCTGGCTGCTGGGGGGGG